AAGTCAGTGCCTTCATTGTAGGGATCATCCATAACAGTTGATGCTCACAAATGAAGACATGGCATGTGTTCTGCCATGAGTCTGAGGAAGTACTGCATGTATCTGCCTCAAGAGACTGGCTTTCTATGGAATCCTCTGGTATTGCCTGTTAAGATAAAGATACCAGATCTTGTGGTTTGTAATCCATTCCTCAGTGTAATGCTATACACCTAAACATATTTTATGGCAGGTTTCTATCGTTCATGTTTTGATCTCTCTTTATGAGTAGCTGAGAATCCTTGCAGTTTGACTGTATGGATAGAAGTAGCAGCTAAATGGAACATAAAAATCTTTATTTAGAACAGGCAGCAGCCTAGGGGAGTGCACATCTGAGTGTTGTAGGAAATGCTAAGTGGCAGCAACCCATGTGAACTGAAGTTTAGACGGAGCTGTTAGGCTGTGGAGTTGACTAAAAGGAGAGGAGAAAGGGGCTACCTGAAGTGTAGCTCTCATGTTGTTAAAACTTGGCATTTAACGTCTGTGCCAAGGCCACATAAGAAGCCTGGCCCAACACAGAAAAAACTGCTCTGGGACAAAACCCTGTTGTCCCATGAGAGCTGAGAGTTCATGCACTGATGTTGTCAGTTGATCTGTGTGTGTGCTTTGTGGCTCAGTCTGTGTAGTTCTTTCTCCTAGTACAGATCATGTGTTTTTTGGAGCTTGAGGTGCAGGCTATCTCAGTACTCACTGCACTGAGACTGGTGAATCCTAAATGGGGTTTGAACAAGAGGATCTGCTCAAAATATATCCAAAGAGGGACTGATTAGATATTATTTAGTCTTAAGGATTGATGGTTATAGTTTTGATTGGTTTTCTTAGCTGGAAAAAATGTTTTTTGTCAGTTCTAGGAAGGAATAATAAAATCAAATTGTGTTGAGCTTTTATGTAAAGCTGCAACTATAGTTACTTTTACTACTGTCCTTTGAATGGATTTTCAAAATGGTCTTTTTTCTAATTTCATGGAGTTAATATTTCTATTACAATGCAGAATTGTGAAAGTTCTGTTATTAAGGTCTGGTTACCAAAAAACTCTATTTCTGCATATACATTGATTTTCTATGGAAAAATTCTGTTCTGTCTGTACAGATTGCTAGATGAGGGCCCAGTTTTCATTTCTGGGTCATCATTGCCTCAAGGGCTTTGATTTGCTAGGGTTGTGTAATGGCTAGAAAAAACCATTGGTGATGTCAGCTCTTCTTACTAGTAATTCAGCAACCCCCAGTCTTTTGTGGAAGATGCTTTCATCAAGGAGGGAAGGAGGAAGGGCGAGGAGAAGGAAGGTAGGGAAGTAGGGATCCTTCATCTAAGGCACATGGAAAGCAGGAAGGTGATTTGGGACAGCCAGCATGGCTTTGCCAAGGACAAGTACTGCCTGACCAGCCTAGAGGTCTTCTATGATGGAGTGAGCGCTTTAGTTGACAAGGGAAGGGCTACAGATGTCATTTATCTGGATTTCTGTAACGCCTTTGACGTGGTCCCCCACAACATCCTTCTCCTAAGTTGTAGAGAGATGGATTTGATGAGTGGAATGTTAGAAGGATAAGAATGTGGTTGGATGGTCACATCCAGAGGGTAGTGGTCAACAGCTCTTGAGTTCTGATAGACATCAGTAACAACTGGTATTCCTCAGGGGTCCTATTAGCACCAGTGTTAATATCTTCACTAATGACACAGGACCTCAGCAAATGTGCAGACAACACCAAGCTGAGTGGTGTGGTTGACACGCCTGAAGGACAGGATGCCATCCAGAGGGACCCGGACAAGTTCAAGAAGTGGGCCTCTGTGAATCTCAGGAGGTCTAACAAGGCACAGTGCAATGTGCTGCACCTGGCTTGGGGCAATCCCTGATACCATTGCAGGCTGGGGGATGAACAGATCAGAGCAACCCTGCCAAGAAGGACTTGGGTGTGCTGGTGGAAGCGAGGCTGGACACGAGCCAGCAATGTGCACTTGCAGCCCAGAAAGTCAATTACATCCTGGGCTGCACCGAAAGCAGCATGGCCAGAAGGATGAGGGAGGTGATTCTGCCCCTCTCCTCTGCTCTGGTGAGAGCCCACCTGGATTACTGCATCCAGCTCTGGGGTCAGCACAGGAAGGATATTGACCAGTTGGAGCATGTCCAGAAGAGGCCCACTCAGTTGATTAGAGGGATGGAGCAGCTCTCCTACGAGGAAAGGCTGGGAGGATTTAATGATAGGGAGGAATGGGATCCACCTGCCTAAAAAGGGCAAGTTTGCTGGCTGGTTTGGTGAGACAGGCTTAAATTGAAGGGCTCGGGGGGTGGGGTCCAGAGGGGCAATGCTCATGCCATTGCTTCCTATTGAAGAGTAGGCTGTGCCAACCAAGTGCACCAACAGATGTTCCTTGGCTGCTTCTCAAGATGAGAATCACAGGGCTAACTACACCAAGGGTGTATATGGCTATGGTGAATCCTCTTACCTCTCATCCCTTCTAAGGAACCTGGATGCTTGATTACCTCTCTGAAGTGCCTGTACACAAACGCACACAGCATGGCGAATAAGCAAGAACAAAAAATCCATGTGCAGTCACAGGGCCATGATGTCACTGGAATTCCAGAGATGTGGTGAGATAGCTCACATGATGGGAATGTTGTCATGGATGGCTGTGTACTTCTTAGTAAGGACAGGGTAGTGAGGCGAGGTGGTGGAGGTGAGGGAGCAGCTGGAATGTACTGAGTTCCATCCAGGGGCAGAGAAATGAGTTGAGAGCTTATGAGTAAGAATTAAGGGACAGGCTAATATGGGTGACACTGTTGTGGGTGTTTACTACAGGCCACCTGATCAGCAGGAGGAAGTCGATGAGGCTTTCTAAGGGCAGCTGGAAGTAGCCTCACAATCACAGGCCCTGATTCTCCTGGGGGACTTCAACCACCCTGATACTTGTTGGAGACAACACAGCTCGGCACACACAGTCCAGGAAGTTCCTGCAGATCACTGATGATAACTTTTTGACACAAGTGGCGGAAGAGCCAGCGAGGAGAGGTGTGTTGCTGAACCTTGTACTAACAAAGCCAGGAGGAACTGGCTGAAGACAAGAATGTTCGGGGCGGCCTTGGCTGCAGTGGCCATTATCTCCTTTTTCTGTACCTCTAGTTTTAACATGGGTTAGAAGGGTCAGATGA